GACTTCACTTCGATCAGCAACAGGAACAATTCCGTACGCTTTAACTTATGGGCACGATGCAATTTTTCCAGTCGAGTTGAATACAAACTCATGGTGAACTATCGAACAAAGTAGCTTGTTCAGTGCCAAATATAGTCAAGCAATGAGGTAGGATTTGGAGTATCTAGAGGAGGTTCGACTTAATGCCTATAATATGTTAGTAGCATAGAAAAAGATGTTCGACAAAGGTAACTTGGTTTAGCAAACGGTGTTGCCAGTTGGGATCAAGCATCCCAAATTTGGAAAATGATCGCCAAATCAGGAATGATCGCTTATCATTCACAAGGTTCTCGGCAAGGAGGCATTCAATATCAAGGATTGAACTGGTTTGATACATAAGTTGCCAATCAATGGGAAATTCTTAAAAAAAGTATTATCCAGTTACTTAGAAGATGCAAGAATAAGAAGATATTTCATTAAATTGGCAAAAAGTACAAGTGTGTGAATAAAAAAGTTAACTGGCTAACAAGTTGGCACCAGGAACATAATCTATGGGGTCGAAAGAAGGAAGGCATGTCGAGTCCTCTTGTCTACCTTCAGAGCTTGTATTCGCTTCATACTGGTCGCATATTCTGCCAGCCGAGGTTTATTTGCCTCGAAGTCCATCTCAAGCTCAGAGGCAATGGCAGATCTTTGAGATTAAAGCTCAACAATCTGACGGTCGAGATCTGCCATTTTCTCTTTCTTTGCTTTGATCACCTCTAACTCTGGTAAGATAGCTTCCTAAGCAGCCGTTGTAGCTTTCAGTTCCTCATCAGCTTGTAAAGCTTTCTCAAAAATATCAAAATATAGCCGAGTTCACTCCAAGATGGTTGTTAAGTGAACGACATTTTCATTCTCATGAGACCTTCAGCTGCAAGATTATTCAAACACTCTCCAACTGAGGCAAGGCTTTTCGTTTGAAGAGCTTGCAAAGCTAAGAAGGACAAAGTCTTTTGTAGTTTGGACAGAGCATTGGACTCAGTCGGGACGACAAAAGGGCCAGCTGTTCCTAATATGCTGGCGAGATAGGCGTTGAGTTCGACTTCCCATGAAGGCCACACAAAAGAAAGGTTAGATGAGGACGATGAAAGAGAAATGTTCTTAGACTTGTCGATAAGTAACTTCGACCATATCTTTTGGGTTGTTGGTCGAACCTAAAGAGTTTAATGGCTGAGCACAATGTTTAAGACAGCTCTTCAATTCATACGACCGATGAAGGTTATCTATGTTTGATGGCCATTGAGGCGGCCAAAAAATATAGACAATGCCCTTTGGCGCATAGAATTTTCTATTAAATGAACGACTGGGCACCTGACAGTTAACGTTTTTACTTCGGTTTAGCGTTATAGGACAAAAGTCATTCGAAATAGAAGAAAAAGACGTACAAAGGCTGAAGTGACATCTTATGTAGAGATGCCAAGATCTTAGTCCTAAGGGTGAACCGGTGTTTTTGTTATCGCTTCTGGTTTAGCAAGAATTGACGGTTCAACTGCTGGACTTTCAACGGCTACCTCAGAATCAGCATAGTTGGTCGCCTCGACCAACGAGTGGATATCACCTTGACTTAGACTCGGCATATAGGATACAACAGCCTTGCCTTTATTCAAAGGTAAGGGAACTACACTTGGTTGCCCACTTGGCCAAGGGCGTTTCACCAGAAGACTCATCTCATCATTACCGTCTTGACAACAAAGTTAGAAAATTTAGTAAAGTTAACTGAAATATATGTGATGGGTACTAGGGCATTTTCATTAGGGGTGGGCGCGATGCAGTTCGATGCAGTTTTGAGTGAAACCGCAACAGAAATCGAAACATTTTGCGGTGCGGTTCGATGTGGTTTTGAAGCCAAAATCGAAATGAAACAAAACCGTTTGGTTCAATTCGGTGCGGTTTCAAATGGTTTCGATTCGGTTTTTGAGATTTTTTTTTTCTCCTTGGATTTCTGGTTCTTCTGGTTTTGGTCCGAGAAAGAAGCGAAAATATTAAGTGCATCTTTTTTTGCAATCGCGGTAGCAACCATATTCCAAAACTGGTAGCTAAAAAAAGGCTTGCTTTACATGTTTGTGCTGGTTGTTTAGGACGAGCACAAGAATTAGCCATGAGAAGAAAAAGGAAAAAGATAACATTATGTCGAATAGAGGTGGAAAATGGAAAAGGATGACATTTCTAGTGTAGTTAAGTCTATACTATAAATGTATTGACTCTAATAAAGAACCAATTAAAACATGACATTTAATAAATGATGCGGTTTCGGTTCGATTTTGAAAACCCAAAACCGAAACCAAACCGTTTTCCTAATTGCGGTTTGGTTTCGAAACCGCAACCATTTCAAAATCGCAAAACCAAACCATTCGGTTCGATTTGATTTGATTCGTGTTTCGGTTTCGATTTTCGGTTCCAAATGCACACCCCTAGTTTTCATACCTCTTCATCCAAAATGAACAGTGTGGTAATGGTTTATGGATTGGACAAGGGAATTGCCGCAGTCGAGTCAGCCACTACCTCGACAGGAATGGTGCCAAGCTCTAAGCCAATAACGGCTGCGTCAAGTTGAGGATCAACTGAAGGTTGAATTACAGGTTTCTCGACCACTAGGTTTTGTATCGACTGATCAACCAAGTCAACAGGTTGTGTCATTGGCTATACAGTGGCCATTTGATCAGCAATTGGGGCTATGAACACTGGTAGCATCTCCATAGATACCTCGGTAATAGAAGGATAAGAGACATCAGGAGTGGTTGCTTCTGTGTCTTGGCTTGAGATGACAAGAATCTCACGATCCCCTTTCTTAGCCATTTTCTTCACTTTTTTTTAGGGTTGTGCGACGGCGCCAGTTGCCTTGGTCGAGGGACAAGGTCGTTTGATTGCCGATGTTGGCGCAGTAGCAATGCCCACTAGCCTTGGCATAGTCGAAGCCACTTTGTGAAAATGGTTGAGGTGGTAATGGCCTTCGTGGCAGTAGCATCTATTGGGGTTGGAGTGGTCAAAGTTATCTGGGGAGAGATGACCATGGCAGCAATGACTTTCTTTAAGGGAGAGGCGAGTTTTTTCTTGGCCGTAACCATCGCAACCACTTCGGCCCATTTTATCGAGCGACCAGCTATAAAAACTGATCGGGTTCGTTCATTGTATTCTTCTAGAGTTGAAGATTGTATTTATAAAACATCATCATAATTGGAGTTAGAATGACCGTTAAATCGTGTTTTTTCGCTTCTAACCGTTAAATGATTTTGTCCAGTTACCTAATCTTCCAACGTTTGTTTTTGGTGATTTTTGGCATATGTGATCACGAAGTATATACAAACATGTTTGATGGTTGGATTATGAAAACTAGTTTCTTAGAATGCATGTCTCACCAAAACAATGGATTCCAAAACACTTATCTTATACTTCCATTACGTAGAACGTAAGCTTTTTTTGTATTCACTAATGTAAATATTTTGTATTGATGATCTGGTTTGTCCATTGTATTCTTCTAGGGTTGAGGATTAATTTGTAAAAATATCATCATAATCGGAGCAAAAAAGACCGTTAAATCGTGATTTTTCGTTTCTAACCATCGAATGATTCCGTATGGCCTGTTACCTAATCTCCAAACATTTTTTTTTTATGGTTTATTGCATATGAGATCTTGGAGTATATACAAACATGTTTGACGGTTGTTTCATGGAAACTAGTTTTGTAGAATGCGTAACCCGTCAAAACAAAGATTTCAAAATATTTAGAGTTTATTCTATATTTCCATTAAGTAGAACATAAGCTTTTGTTAGAGTAAATCTTTTAAATTGATGACTGTTTGTTCATTGTATTCTTCTAGGGTTGAGGATTGTTTTGTAAAAAATCAAAATCTTATCTAAAACGACTATTAAATCGTGAATTTTTTTTCTAACCCTCAAATGATTTCGTTTTGTTATCTATCTCTGAACGTTTGTTTTTGGTGATTTAGCGTTTGAGATCTCAGAGTATATACAAATATGTTTGATAGTTGGATTGTTGAAATTAATTTTGCAGACTATGAAAATCTTCTCCCTCTCTCAAAAGTTTCTAAAGTCCACCCCTCTCCATCTTCCATGGCAGCAGCTGAAATTACAGAAGGGAGTAGTATTGGTGAAAAAATCAAAGGAATAAGTATGAGAAGAGGAACCTTATAGTTAAACCGTCGAGTTAAAAAGTGTCTGCATTTTCTTTGACACCTCATTGTTACACTTTGACCCCTCTGCATTTTTTTAAACGTCATTGTGGGTCTTTGCCCAATGAAATGAAAACTCGACGGTCGACCAATGAACTGGGTTGTTGGGCGATGTTAATCTAGTTGACGAACCTCAGTTACGTCAGGCAAACCTTCAGACATTACACGCCATTGTTTCCCCCTTGGTGCCAAAACATTGCCCGACGGATTCCACCTTGTTGTAGGACTCTCTTCCGTTACGTAAAGATTTTGGGAAACCCTAAATGTTGACCAGTTTTAGCTACCAACTAAATTTTGTCGTGTAAAGTTTTTTATCCGCCGAAATTTTGTTCGCTGGCCAAAATATTGTGGGGCAACCCCTAATTTTTAGCAGTGACGCTAATGGAGTGTTTTAGAGCTTGGGGTCCCCTAGTCAGTATAAAATCTTAAGACTCTCATTAATTTCAAAGAATCGCCCCCACCTTATTAAATGGGCATATCCATACCTGGGAGTGCTCGTGATATGCTTCCAAAACAAAAAGAAACCTAAGCTAGCTAGTTGTTAATCACTCATGATTAACTTATAGATACCATAATGCCCACCTAATTATCAAAATAACCTAATTATGCACTAAATTCTATGCAATTAAATCCCACATATTATCATAAAATAAACAATTGCACACACATGAAACACCAAATGCATTTTTACAAAATTTGACAGGAACATGAGAGACAGAGAGCTACTACACTTTTGCAACGTCTTTTTCACTCAACGTTAAGAAAGATGTTCGGTCCCAAAACAAAGACAAGACAAACAAACATATCTATATATATATATCGGTGATAATTACGTATCACCCATTGAAATACCCACAGATTACTTCGACTTATTGCAGACACAAGAACGACTTCAATTGAAAACAAAAATAAACCAAATAAAAGACACTTTCAAAAGCTATAGCTAGCTATAGGATCATGCTTAACAAAGGAAAATAAAAGCTATAGCCACCACGACATTTTTTTTTTTCATCTATTTGTACTCATGCAACGTTCAGCTTAACTACGTTGTTCTGGGGTCCACTGCGGTGCACTTGGGCTAAAGTGCACCGAAACAACCCTGGAGTCAAGAAGTTCCATGATGGGCGAGAAATTCACACACCTTGGTGCCTTGTACTGATTGATAGACGCACCTCTAGAGATTGCATAGTCCATAAGCTCCTCAAATGTGCCATTTTTTACCACCCTTATCTCAAGTGGTCCAATTGAGCTGTCAGCCACCCTGCCTTGTCTGTATACCGAGTTCAACGACTCTTCCATGGCTAAACAACACTTGTCCAGAACCTCGTGATTCGGGGAATTATTCGCCGGGTCCTTCACCAACAATTCCCAGTAAATCACATAATGCCCCGGAATTGTCTTTGTGTCCGCATAGCTTGTGTACTCAACTACGGTGGTATTGAACTCTCTCAACAACACCGAGGCATTGTCAATGGCCTTCTGCAGCTCAGCCTCATCCGTCTTGTCAGAGTCGATGCTCAACAAGACGTTCTTTCTCCTCACAAACCTAAACTGCGGCGCGGCGTTGTGGTAACCGGTGACCTCGAGAACATCTCCCACCCGGTAACGACACAGTCCGGCGTAGGTTGTTATGACGAGCTCGTACTCCTTCCCAACTTCGAGATCAGCAAGGTCGACAAGGCGGGGAGGGGAGTGTCTGGACAGCGGAGGAGCGGAAGGGTCGTGCGGGATGAACTCGAAGTACGCCATGTTCGGCATAATTGTGTAAGATACCTCGGACGGCTTGCACATTGGCTTGAGGTTGAGTCCGAAGTAACATTCGGACGATGCGTACATAGTACACGCCATCGGCAAGCCATTACTGTAGTATTCAAGCAAAGGAATGTACTGTGCCATTGCACCGGTGACAATCACGTCGAGGTACTTTGTGTTAGGCCAAACCCTTGTGATTATGCCTTCCCAGTTCTCCTCACAACACTCCTTTGTGATGAAATCTGCTAGCTCGGGGTCTGGTTTCAATATGCCGGACATTGTTTCACGGAGAGAAGGGTCTATGATTTTAGGGTTCAGGGTTCCATTGCAAATGTCAATTGCTAGTTGTTGCCAGTTGAGCTGGAGGAACCGAATCGCTCTTAGTAGGCCAGAGGCAAACACGGCGCCTACTCGGAGGACTTGTTGGCGCATAACGAGGCCGCAGACCATTTGGGTGTACATACTTTGGAATGAGTCGGGGCAGAGAATGGCCTCGTTCGGGCTGGTTAAGACATTGTAAGGGTCAATTGGCCTCGTCTTGAAGTGCTCACTCTTGTAGTAGCTTGTCAGCACCGGACGTGCTACGAGTCCTCCAGGCGTCTTGGTCTCCGCCTTGATGAACAAGAAGTAAAGCCCCTTTCCCTTGTCAAGGTCTGGCACGTAACTGTCGCATAAAATTCGATTTCATCATAAATTAGTACATCACTCTAATTTAATGAACAAAAAATAAATACAATTTGCTTTAGTGAAAAATAAAAGCAGTCCCATTTATGATTCTTAGTTAGAGTGACACAAAACGGAGATCTTAGGTTAGATTTTCTTTTATAATTAACATAAATAAATAAAAATTAGTGATTGGAGAAAGGAAAATTACAGATTCATCACTGGCTGAAGCAAGCTATATAGTAGTGTACGACGGTCCAACTCTTCATGTATTGTAGGCATCAATTTTCGTTCACCAGCTGAAGTCCCAGAACTGCATGCAAATTTACAAATATTAATTATTTTTTCGTACTTTAAATATCCCAATAAATTTTAAGCAAAATTTTTAATACATACCTAGTGAGAAACTCAGAGATGGGTTGAGAGCTCAAGATGGGAGAGCGGTCACCATTAGCAATACGTTGGATCTCCGGCTGAAGATCCTCGTACGTAACAACCGGGACTTTGGACTTGAACGAGTTCCGGTCGGTCGCACCGTCGAGGCTGAATCGTTTGAGGTACTCGGTCTCAGCGTTACGACTCAGAATCTCTCCCAGAACCCTCTCCTGCACCAAGTCCGTGTTCTTGGTCATCTCCTCTATGAACTGAAGCGCCTTGGCGTCCTTCTCGGTGGCCGGTGGGCCCAGGGGGGAGGATGTCACTGAATCGACGGCCATGATTGATTTGATCTGGGACTGTTACTGAAAAGCTTGATTAATGAAACGAGAGAGATGTGATGATCTAGGTTGCTGTGGTGTTGGGAGCTGATGGAGGGGGTGGGTTTATATAGGGAGCTGTTTGGTTCATTGCTTTGTGCCACTTAACCAGACCAATTGTTTCTTGGACGGACGCTGACGGATCCTAGTTGGTCAGACCGGACATAAGAAATACTTCGTCTCAGAGGGTGTCTAGTCAAGAGGGGACATGTGGGCCCAGTACACGTCGAATAGCTACATGGATCCCGACAGGTAGGGCCCATGAACTTGCCAGATCAGCAAAGAGTTTTGTCCGGGCCTACCAGTCAGCCGAATCACGCGGCCTTTTTTTCGAGCGAGGTTGTTTGCATATTTGAAAACTATAGTTGCCGGCAACGATACACTCTGTGAGAGGAGAAATTTTTCCAAGTGCCGGGAACACCATGACACATGGTGTTCCCTCACACATCAAGATATGACATCTTAAATATCCTTCAATTTTATATTTCAATAAATATAAAAAACTAAATCCTAATGTGTGAGGGAACACCATGTGTCATGGTGTTCCCGGCACATGGAAAAATTTTCCCTGTGAGAGAGGAAGCAGACGGCCCGAGCTATGCAAGTTGTTGTTGGAGAATTGGGGGAGAGAGAGAAACCTAAAGCTAAAAGCTTTGAGTAATCAGACAAATAGATTTATCATTGATTTTTTTATTATATTATAATAAAGAATTGTTGTTGGCACTTTGAGATCATCATACATATTAAATTTGTAAAAACACAAGAGTGAGTTTATATAAGATATGTAAGATGATTTTTGAGTGTAAATATTATTTGTTTGAAAGTATTTTTAAAATAATTAAAAGTGAATTCAGATCACCAAATATATACTATGTAGTAAATAGAAAGTTAAAAGTTGGTTTAAAAAAGTACTTGAATGCTTTCTAAAAGAAATAGATGTTATATGTCGTTTTTTAAGAAAGATTTTAAGTGCTTTTTGAAATTGCTTCTTTAAAATGTCATGTGTTTATAATAAAAACGACTTTGAGCTGAGTTAACTTTTGAAAAAGCATTTTCAAACAACTCTTAATATTTTAAATGTTTGGTTAAGATAGTGATGGGTGGGGAAGAAAAATGTACTCTAAGGGGGCAGCAAGCAATCACGTGAACAAGACCTTAATGATTTTTAATTTTTAATTTGGTTAGGAGTGTTTTGATTTCTACTTGTTGTATAACTTGTATGAATGTCTAGCTAGCTAATCAAGCGTTGTGGTAAGATTTTAATATGGTTAATTAGGGATAGGTGACAACTCTTGTTCATTTTTTGTACGTCATCACAGTTGCAATACAAAAACATTGTTTTCTTCGCTCTTTTTTCGGAATGATTAGGTTAAATCTTTTGAATAATTAATCACATATTAGCATATGTGGACATTTAGATTAGATTAATCAGTATTTTTTTAATTGTAAATAAAAATGACATCCATGGAATCCTATGGAATATCTTTTATTTTTAAGGGTTAAAATGGCTGGCATCATGACATGAAGTACATGCATGCTTGTATGCCAAATCATCTCTACTTCAACTCTCCCTTTAATAGGGTTAATGCTTGAGATGCCTTAAAATTTACGTTCGAATGTTAATCAATATTACGGTCTACTTTTTTCTCACTACTATTTTAATAGTTGAAACCAGATTGTCAGTATGAGCTATTGCCAAAGTGGATTATATTTGAATATTGTTTATTTCAAATTTGACTATATATATAACACGCTAGATTGTCGAACTTACGTAAGAGAACTTGGCTCGAGTAATATAATGTATTGTAACTCGATTTATACATTGGCTATGTAAGAAGTCAACAATTTATATATTCATAATTCAATCATCAACTTTCATGTTATTTAGTTTGCAATATTTTGTCTATAAATTTAGTCTCCCTAGCATTACCCATTTATTTAGGGTAGTTGAAGAAAGTTGAGGTTACACTATAAAACCAATTGGTAATATGGAGATTAGCCTAACTACTTATAAGCACATGCAAGATCCCTCCTCTCATCAATGTATTCATTTTCAATAGCCCCTCTTACATGTGGCGAATTTTCAAGCCTAACACGTGAACAACACAACTCAGGTGACATGGAGCACATGTGGCTGTGGGGCTTCACACACTACTACAAAAAAAAAACACTTTGAGCAACGAAATAAGTTTGTTGCGCAAAGTACCATTTCGCCGCGCAAAACCTTACACAATGAAATTTTGGTCGCGCATGGTTCGTCACACAAAGCTCGTGAAGATAGGGTTTGTGTGACAAAAATTAATTTTCGTTGCATAAAGCTACTTTGTGCAACAAAATATTTCGTCGCACAAATATTTTTGTTTTTTAATTTTTAAATAAATTAAATTAATTTAATAGCTTTGCGAGACGAAATATTTCGTCGCGCAAAGATTTAAATTTTTAAAATTTTAAATTAATTTAATATTTTGCACGACAAAATATTTTGTCGTGCAAGGTTTTTGACTTTTTTTTTATTATTTCTCTTATATTAATTGTTTGTGCAACGTAGTATATGGTAGTGCAAGATTTTTTGAATTTTTAATTTAATTTAATTGTATGATTTTATTTTTTTTTATTACTTTAATTTAAATTGACATATTCAAAATAAAATTACATATGAAAAATAGTGATCAAATTATCCAATATACATAATATATTCATATTGTACACATAAATTAACAAAGTACAATAATAAAATCCTAATACAAGTCTATTGTGGTGGTAGTGGCGGGGGATATGGTTCAATAGCATCCTAATCCTCAACTTTAGCCTTCAAAGTCTCGGCGATTCCTTACAAAAAAAAAAAAAAAAAAAAAAAAAAAAAACATGGTCAAATAACCAAAAAATAACATAAAATAATACCAAAAAATTGGCATAATCTCCCCTAAAATTGGTATACCCCAAACTCCACCCCTCACCCTATACTTGACCCCAAACCCCACCAAATAAATTAAATAAAAAACAAAAATAAATTGGCATAGGCAATGAAATATTTGGATTACATAGCGTAAAGATTTAAAAAATAAATTTATTTTATTTTATTTATTTTTGTAAAGACTTTGCGCGACGAAGTTTAAAGTTTCGTCGTGCAAAGTGACTTTGCATGACGTGTGTTTCGTCGAGTAAAATTTCATTGCACAAGACTTTGCGTGACAAAGTTTAAAATTTCGTCACACAAAGTGATTTTGCACTACAATGTGTGTTTCGTCGCGCAAAATTTCATTGCACAAGGGGTTTTTTTCACTAGTGACACGTGGGACAATTTGGCTCTTATACCATTAAGAAACTTGAGGTTCCATCATACAACCACTTGGTAATATAGGGAGTAGCCGAACTTTTTATAAGCACATGCAAGGTCCTTCCTTTCATCAATGTGGGATTCATTCTCAATAATGGTGTTATCCACACACTTCTTTTTACCTTCTACGCACCTTACCAATTTTCGGCCCTCAGATCGAATAAATTGAAGAAAATCAAATGACATAAGTTAACAGAAAATATGTAGAAGGTAAAAATATGTTTATGAATAGCACCACCCTTCAAATATAAAAGAGGAAACCACATCCGCCAACGGAGAGGCCTTTTGGTAACAAAATGATTCCCAATTGACGACGGATGACTAAGCTAGTTTAATCTATTGGCATGCATCATGCAGGAGTGTTGTACGTGTAGGCATGTGTGAGGTACATCGTCGGACTTTTCAGCAGGCTACACACTTAGAAGAGTTATGTGTAGGCTATCCCACAGCAACGTTGCAATGAGAGAATTACGCAAATATTTGTTAAATAAATACTGGAAAAATCTTTTGTACTATTCTACATGGAATTGGCTTGGAAGGTCATGTCGCTGTCCGTGGAAACCATATATATGCTTACACTGAAACAGCCAATAAGAACAGAAGAAGATAAAAGTGACACACAATTATGTCGAAGATGGCCCTATCTGAGGCAAGAGGAAAAGACAAATTCAATTTGTTTATTTGTAGGTTAAAAGAAATATATATGCTCTGAGACGTATATTAGGTATTCAGTGATTGCGAAGGTATCAATATCCATGTCAACAAGAAGAAAAAAGGTACTGCTATTCATTGTAGAGTGGTTTGATGATAGTCCGATTGAAAGACGTAAGTTTGGCAGTAAAATTCAAGCAAATTTGAATAAGGCCTCAATGTTAGATTTGGGTCATGATCAACCATTTTGAAGAGAATGCTATCGACATATAGACATTTTTTGCCGGATCCTAATGTTTAGAGGATATTTTTAATGCTTTTGTTGTTATCGTATTTAGTATTATGAAACTAATTATTTGTTTTTTTAACAACAATATTATTTATGTCAAGGGAGGGGTGGGCTTAACCTCACAATGGGCTAATAATAATGTGGTTCAAATTCACTTTTAGCAAGAATCGAACCTAAGTTCTTTCACTTTTACTACTAGACCGTACATACTAAATGGCAGTACTATTATGACACTAATTAAACCCTAGCAAGCTTAGGGTTCTGGTAGCCTATATCACACACTCGTTTTGTTCTCCTACAATATACATGCGTAAATAAATAAGGATGTGTAAGAAGAGAAAAATTATATGCGGTTATCATTTTCCTATGAATACATCCATTCATGGTGTCGTATATAAATAACTCTGAAGTTTTCTCCCTAGTTGATTTCAAATTTTTATGCTTTTAAGGTTACTCTTTGATTTTTTTTTTTTCTCCTTACCACGTTGTGGTGGCTGGTAAATAATTGTTCTGCATGCAATGCAATAATCCACATAGAGAAACATGGGAATTGAGCGCTCGACATATATCAAAAGATTTTGAAAGCTCCGGATGTTTTAATCATTAAATCTTAATTTTTGTATGTTTAAATAAAGTTCTAACAGTTAAAATATCTGAAATACTAAATAACTCCTCAACACTCAAAATAAATAAAATAAAATAAAAAACGAGAAAGGGAAAATAATAAAAATAAATAAATAAAGTAGAAGAGCACAGATTCCAAATCACCCTAAATATA